TGCAGTCAAGGAAAAATGTACATTTTATGAGTGCGCTTTTTTACTACAAGCCTGGGGTTAGTGGAGGATGGAGTCCTTAAACCCCGTCAACAACAACACTTTTGGTTTCCCGTACGCAACAAAGTAAGTCATCAAGTTATAACATTTATTACTATTCATCTCTTCCCCAAATATATGCTAAGAATAAAATGTTTTTCATTTCCTTTAGGTACTGTGTGAGGGGTATGGATTACGGCAAAAATCCAAGATTCAATGTCGCACTATACCGCAATCTGTTGGATCACTTAGGCCCGGATGACGTACGTCGTAGCTTTTAACTTTTCTTCATTTAAATTATTTATACATTACTTTTGCGTTAACCTGATTTAAATTTTATCGCAGTTCGTCTGGAGACCATATTTGGGTTTGGGCCATGATCCAAACCCGGAGGATGCAGCAACTTGGACCGCGAAGACTGCAATCATTCGGTTCAACATTGTGGAGATGTACCACATCGACCGTGTGAAGATGCAGTTCGGAATGCATCAAGAGATACCAAGTGATCCAACTTGTTTATCCCCATGGCATCTTAAAAGGATCGACGCCCAGTGGGGTCTTACCAACTGGAAAGACTTCGCTCCGGAATTGTGTAAGATGTGGCAGAGGCGTCACCGCTATGTCTTGCAATTCCCGGTTTTCCTTAATCAAGGTAATATGCGACACACGGATCAATATTTGTCTTGGTACAGGTCGGTTAGTAACCCTGAAATGCACGTGTCTCATCCAAGGTACTTGGTTGACCCACGCACACAATGAGCACAACCCTCGTTTCCCCAACAACAAACCCAGAACCCATCAACCTCCCACCAACCCCCAAGAAGAAACAGACCCACAAACACCCAACCACAGTCCCCACCACAACACAATTACACTCAAATGCCACACAACCAACCACAATCACCACCACACTACCAATACCCCGATATGCTTCACACCCAACCACAATACCAATCCCAATACAAGCACACCCGCATACCCCACACACAATTTCAGTCTTTCGTATATCCCAATATGGGCCCCTCAACATCCAGCCTTAGCCCTGATATGGGAATGTCAGAAGATTACGAACAAACCGACCCAGCCTACCATCAACCACAATATCACCAAACCACCCAACATCCTCAATACCAAACACCCCAAGATCCATTTCCTTTCTACCCACCGTACTCAGACGACCAATGCTACAGACCCACTATGGAACCCCACCCACCGCCAACACGACCAAACTTTGAGGGTATGGGCAATCGACTGTACCAAAGCGGATCTTCTAGATATGGAGATCTGACTGATTTTATGGATCCGGGCCGCATTGACTTCGCTGGGCCATCGACCTTGCCGCAGCAGGAAACGCGACGACACCCAGCACGAGAAAGGCGAGGACGGGGATGCGGAACCGGGGGTCATTACCGGGTTCCAGGGGATCACTGATTTATCTGTTTTTTTTTCCTATATTTTTTTATCTATTTTTTTATCTGTTTTTTTTAATCTGTTATTTTAATGTAATACAGTTGGATGTAATTATTTTTTTTTTTTAATAAAAAATCCATTTTGTTGATCCTGTATCCAACACGCAACGCACCGGACAAAAAAAAATCACATTTTGCCCTAAAATAACACCTAGGCGCCATCTCACTTGGCTTAGGACATGCCCTAAGCACATAGGCGCCAAGTGAGATGGCGTCTCCCCTTAAAAAATGGGTGCATGCGCCAATTCAGATGGCTCCTCCTTTGGAGAGTCATCTGAAACATGATTATTTGCGTAATTTTTCCGAAACGCGGTTATTTGTGAAATTTTTTTTTAATACATGATTATTAATAAAAAAAATTATGTAACTCCATCACGTAGTTATAACAAACAATTAATTAATTGAGTATTTTGCATGCACGTTGATATTTTGTATTTGTAAATTGTATCTGATGCCGTTACAATTGTACCTTGTTTTGATCTAAACTAATTAGAGAAATTATTTAAATGCATTAATTAATTATATAATTTAAAGTGTTTAATATCATATAAATAACGAATATTAATTATTATGATATCTTGCAACTACAAAGAATTTGGATTCCAACTTGCAAAAGACATAAAACTATACATTCTTTAAAATTTTGTTTGCAGAAGAATTTAAGGAGAGATTTTTAAATGGGTGAGTGAGTTAGTTAAATTAATATTTGTTAGTTGAGATTAATGAATGTGAGATGTTAGCATAAAGTTCAACCCTTAATAATAATATTTTATTTTATAATATATTAATGTAAATTAATTATTAATATTTATAAATTAAGCATTAGAATGGATGAAAAAAGAAAGTTGAAAATATGATAATATCTCTCAAGTTAAATAGTGAGTTATTTTTTTAATAGTATAAAATTCTCTAAAATAGAATAACTTAAAAATTATATTTAAGAATAATTTATATTTTTTTTAGAATTAAACTAAAATTTTTAAAAATAAATATACATTATTATAATATTTTATAATTAAAACAATATTAGTAATATATTCATTTATCATTATCTATAAAAAACATTCCTAAAAAAAGAAAGATTTTAATATTATTTTTTTTCTATCCTTCTCCAAGTCCTCACTTTCTCCTCTTGGGTGAGAAATGAGTATTCGATCCTTTTTCTATAAAACAATAAAGTGTCAACCTCTATGTCAAAAAAGTGTTAAAATAAGACCTTTGAAAACTTATTGACTATATAGGTTGGCATATTCTAATTGGTTTAATGTTCCATGCTCATCCATATAGTAATAACGTACTTTTAATAAGGGAAATTCTTTTTTTTTTGGAAGGAAAATAAGGGAAATTCTTAGTCACAAATAATTTGGTAGAATTATCTATAAAGTAAACTTTTTTAAAATTTTATAAAATTTCAACCATTTAATAAATAATTAAATATAAATAATTAAATATGATAAAATTAAATGGTAATTTTTTTAAATAAAACAATTTATTAAAAATAAAATGATGGTACAAAAAAGAGAGGGGAATTAGACTAAAATTCTCTCAAGGAGAAACAAGCTTAAAAAAATGCAAGTCAAACATATTTTTTACAAAGTCACTTCAAATTTCTATAGTCAAACATATTTTTTACAAATTCATTTCAAATTTTCGTAGATATGATCTTAAAAAATGTTAGAATACCAGAGATGCGGCTCAGGTTAACAAAAAAAGTCCACACAAGAGTTTTCTATTCGATCATACACCCATCCCCGTCTTCTCCTTCGACGCATGTTGGATAACTTTATCACCAAGGCTCATTACGATGGTGTTATGGACTTTCTCTATCATAGTTGTTTTCTCCTTCTCCGTTAGCGCAACATCCATAGTTGCGGCTCCCTTCAATACTTTAAGAAAATCCTATTGAATAAGAAGGATTTGCATCTTCAACCACCACAAACTGAAATAATTCACAATGATGAATTTCTCAATCTCATACTTTGTTGACGACATCTTCTTCTTCACGATCACCACACCAATTTAGTATAACAGAGTATCGTCAAGAACAAATCAAAACTATGAGAAAGATTGAGTTTCTTGAACAAACACGAGAAGCCCTATTAGGTTTTCACGAAAAAGAGAGAAGAGTGAAGAAGAAAAAGAAAATTAGGATTGGTTGTAAATATTTTTCTATTTATTTTCTCTACTGTGGTTTATAGATTACAAGTGAATAACAACAATCAACCCCTCTCAAGAACCTGAGAGAACTAGTTTATTTATAGACTACTAAGCTAACATAGATTAATTGATAACTTAAACAATTGGATAAAACAAATATGCCCAATTCGACATATAACAAACCTAGCATTATCGAATACTGCACGCTAGAACACATTTCGACTACAACATGTCGGATTTAGACATCAACATGTGAACAGACTTCGACAACATGTTTAAACTCCATTGAACCAAAAAGCTATCATTGTCGAGATACTAGAGTTTGATCCAAAATCTCATAATCTTGTTATAGGATGTGTAGACTCACACTTGTAGGGGAGATTGTTGTTGCTAGTATGAGTGATTAAGTCTCACATCGTAATTAATGGGTAGAATGTTGGTTTTATAAGAAAGAATACTCGTATATCGTGGGCTTAACTTGTTTTGAAATTGATAAAATAAATAAAACCACTTCTAGAGAATTATTCAAAGTGCAATCAATAAAATTTGATGTGTAGGAAAAGAATAATGAGAATCTGACAAATGACTTCAAGCAATAAAAATAATAATAGGCGAGAACATAAGAAATTTGTTCACTCATTTCTATCAAATCGATTTACGTCTGAGATGAGATTTGTTATCTAATTCATTATTCTTCAAAAGTTGTTACAGTAGATTACAATATGAGTTAGACGAAAATAGTCTTTAGAGTTTCTAAGAACATCCTATATTTTCTACTCAAGTGTTTCTCTATCTCCCTAACTCTCAATATAAGAATTCCACAAACTCAAAGTGTTCAAAGCGTTTATCAATCTCTTTTATAACCACAAAAGTCTTTCAAATTCTAAAATATAATTCTAAAAAATTTTACCTTTTGTTTCTCAGTATAATTTCTACAACTTGTATTACAACAAATAGAATACAACAAATAAGAGAAACTCAAATTTATAACTACAAAACCTTAACCATCCCAAACCTAAAAATATGTCAATATCAACAAAAAAAATTCACTATATTACAAAACAAATAAATGAATCTACTTATAAAAATACATAAATAAATTTGAGATCATTAAAATTGACTTACATGCTTCATAAATAAAGTCTCGAAAATAGATAATCCTCTTGCTTGGACTAGTTATGAAGAAAGAAAAAAAACTCTTTACTCATAAAATAAATCTACTTAGTTTATATAAGATTATAAAATTGCATACATGACAAATGTTTTGGCTTAAAAAACTTATTTAACCACTCTTAACCTTTTAAATTCCAAATTTTTTTGTTTACAGAACAGAAAGATCTAGCTAGATTCTCCAAGGAACCTCTTTCTTCTAGAAATTATTACTGATAAACAAGATTCTCTTGGAGATTTCTTTGCTATTGTTGCTTTTGTATTGCACAAACCAAACCTCTTGCATGGTTTCACTTTATTTCTGTAATTTGATTTTACTTTCTTAGCAAGATCTTCTATGCTTTCCACTCTTGCTAAAGAACCAAAAGATTGTGTTTTTCCTTGATAATACATTGACAATCCTCTCCTACAAATCAATGAAAAATTCAATAAAAACATAAAAAATAGTAAATAAAAAAAAGCATGCATCATGATTCATGATTCATGCACGAGTTTGCTTACTTTATAGGAAGATGATTCATGAGCTCTGATAGTTCATATAAAGGACCGTTTAAATTTGATGATGATGAAGGTGAAGAGGATGACGCTTCATCATCATCATCATCCATTTCCGATGAAGAAAAATATGAACACATTGAATCTTTTGTCAAAGAGCCATTGAAAATTGAATCAGTTACATCATGATCATCATCATTCTTAACAATCCAATTGTTGTTATTTTTTCCATCCATGATTGCTTGTAATGTGTCAAGAAGAAAATCTCTCATATGTTAAAATTAAGTTTAATTAATATGAAATATATATAATCCAATTAATGTATGAGATTTGGATAATATTGCTGATTTGATATACTAGTATATGAGTTGGATTTAGATAAATATGAAGTATATAATTAGAATTAAATTTTGGTCACAGTTATAACACCTTATATATGGTGTAAAATAAATTGCTAAAATTGATAATAGTAGAGGATAAGAATGAATAGAAAAACAATATGCTGAGTCACTCTCTTAATAATATTAACCTCTCTTTTATTTTTAGTAATTAATTTTTGTCAAACAGTCTAAATTATATAATTAATTTTATACAGTTAAATAATTAACTAATTGAGATAGTAAAATCATTTAAATTGCATTACTTGATTGTATAATTTAAATTGCTTTATTCTTATAAAAATAAAGAATTTTAATTAATATGAGATCTTGCAACTACAAAGAATTTGGATTCCAACTTGCAAAAGACATAAAACATTATACATTCTTTAAAATTTTGTTTGCAGAAGAATTTAAAGGGAGATTTTTAAATGGGTGAGTGAACTAGTTAAATTAATATTTGTTAGTTGAGATTAATGAATGTGAGATGTTAGTATAAGGTTCAACCCTTAATAATAATATTTTCTTTTATAATATATTAATCTAAATTAGTTATTAATATTTCCAAATTAATTAATCATTAGAGTGGATGAATAAAGAAACTTGAAAATATGATAAAACACACAAAAATCTTCAAAGCCTTCATTAGACATTTCATTTATCTTTTGAGCTATCTGAAAATAATCAAAATAAATAGGGTGAGATGTTGAATTTTTTTTTGGAATAACCATGTATTAAAAATTTTTTTCGCAAATAACCATGTTTCGAAAAAAATTACGTAAATAATCATGTTTCAGATGACTCCCCAAAAGAGGAGCCATCTCACTTGACGCCTACACCTACTTTTTAAGGGGATGCGCCATCTCACTTGGCGTCTAGGTGCTTAGGGCTTGCCCTAAGCCAAGTGAGATGGCGCCTTAGTGCATTTTCTAGGGCAATTTTCGCGTTTTTTTCCTCAATGCGATGTGTTACGTATTCGATATAGGATCAACAAAATTGATTTTTTATTTACAAAATATGATTACACACATAAGTATTACGTAAAAAAAATAGATTAATCAGTAGTCCCCTGAAACCCGGTAATGACCCCCGGTTCCGCATCCCCGTCCTCGCCTTTCCCGTGCTGGGTTTCATCGCGTTTCCTGCTGTGGCAGGGTTGATGGCCCAACGAAGTCAATGCGTTCCGGATCCATGAAATCAGTCAGATCTCCATATCTAGAAGATCCGCTTTGGTACAGTCGGTTACCCATACCCTCAAAGTTTGATCGTGTTGTCGGTGGGTGGGGTTCCATGGTTGGTCTGTAGCATTGGTCGTCTGAGTACAGGGGGTAGAAAGGAAATGGATCTTGGGGTGTTTGGTATTGAGAATGTTGGGTGGTTTGGTGATATTGTGGTTGATGGTAAGTTTGATATTAGTCTCTGTGGGTTCGATAATCTTTTATATTACTTCAATATTTCCGTGCACTTGCGGACGCATCCATTTTTTGGCGCCGTTGCTGGGAACCAACAATCAGTATTGTTATTTTTGTTGTTGCACCGTATAGACTAAGGAGCTCTACACTTAATTACTATGTATCACTTAAATTTTTTCTACAACTCTCATTCTTAGTATTTCGAGAAATCACAAGAACCCCATAAATCTGACCTCGGAATACTGATGGAGGATTTTAATGTGTCACTAACTCACTCTCACTCAAATTACCTCTATAACTACCAATCTAAACATTTTTAGGAGTCGCAAGAATCCCATAAATCCATTTCGAAACATTACTGAAGGGTTACAATGCGACGCTAACCTATCCTCAACCAAATTTCCTCTACGATCACCATACCCAATATTTTGAGGAGTCGCAGGAATCCCAAAATTCCACTCTCGAAACATTAATGGAGGATCTCACTGCGACACTAACTCGCTCTAGGCTAGAATCTATAATGACAGAGCTCTTTATGGAGACACAAAATGCGAAGCTAACTCACTTTGAGGAACCACAATAATCCCATAATTTTAAAATCGAAACATCAATGGAGGATTTCAATGTGACGCTGACTCACTCTAGGCTAAAATCTATGATAGAACACTTTGTAAAGATCCAAAATGTCTAAAATAAAGGGTTAAGAAAACAAAGTCTTCATAATAATGAAACCCTTAGGCAGCTGAACAATGCGGTTGAGTCCCTTGTGACTCACAACATGGCCTTGGAGACTCAAATCTCCCTGCTTGAACAAAAACCTCTAGGACCCTTCCCTGAGAAGCATGTGGATATTATAACAACCAGTAGTGAAAAACAAATCAAAAATCTTAAGGAGAGTGATAATGTGGTTGAACAGATTAATAATGAGGCTGAGAAGAGTTCTGGTGAGAAAATAGTAGAGATTTTTCGAGAAAAATACACTGACGCCATCCGAAAGGGAGTTTGTCGAGGAGGTAGAGAAGGAAACACTTATTGTTGTTCCTCCTCCCTATACCCCACCGATTCATATCCCGTAAAGGTTTGTTGACACTAAGAAGACTCCAAATCCAAAAAGTATGTAGCGCTATTAGAAAATATCCACACCAATGTGCCCTTGTTTGAAGTCTTGCATAAAAAGACAAAGTTAGAGGACCATGCAATTAGGGAAATCAACATTTTTAAGAGGGTAAGGTTAACATTTGAGGTGGTGGATGAAATAACTAAGCCCAAACTTGAAAAGATGATACTCAGGATAGATCCTGAATCACCACCACAAGTTCAAAAGAATGAACCACCCCACAAAAGAAAGAAAATAAAATGTGAGGGATATGTGAATTGGCTTGATAAGTGGACATGGAAACCTAAGATTATTAAAAGGTTGATCGAGGATTCATTCTCGAGAGAACCACCATGAGTGCTTGCACTCCTGAGCTATCGAGATATCGACGTTAAAGAAAGTTCTGCATGGGAGGTAACCCATGAGTTTTTAATTTAATGTTTTCCTTTTACTATGTGAAATTGCAGATAATAAAGTGATGGATTGTTTGTCACGTCTCAGTTACTTCTAGGCGAAAAATCTCTAGATGCTAATCTTAGAAATGAGCCAGGTGTCCACGGACATTCCTGCGAATATCGCTGATGGTGGTGACACTGATAATAATTATAATAGGAGAGAGCATGTCTCAATCGTTCATAACTCACCTCCTCTTCATTCTTCGCATTTTCATGTTCCACATGCACATACTGCACCATATTTTTCTAACACTATTGTAGGTACTTCCTCCAGAAACGAACAACATAATGAGTTGCTTCATAAAAGAGAAGTTTCAACAAATGAAGGTATCTCAAAACACCCCTCGCCTAAGAAGAAGTGGCCAGCAAAGACATGGACAATAAAAGAAGGATCAAAGAGGATTTGGCACGCAGTAGCATTCACACAGGTTCTATCTTTCCTTTTTCACCTTTTATCAAAACATTGAGGATAATGTTTGGTTTAAGTATGGGAAAGGAACTTTACCACTTTCCATTTATCATTTTTAGTTTGATTTATTTGTTTTCTAGTTTATTTCATGTTTTTAAGATTTTATTTATTTTCAATATTTGGTGGAGTCATTGCATGTGATGTCGAGTCTGTATGCCTGTTTTTTAGTTGAATTTCCCCAAAAATTTAAAATTTTAACCTGCAACAAAAATTTTCTTTGATGCATGGCACACACATTCTGAAAGTATATTGGTTGTCACACTTTAGGTTGTGTTAGAAAGATTTGGGAAAGTTTCGATAAAATCGATACTGTTAGGACACCCTAAACCCCCTCATTGTGTGATATCAATTTGGATAGCCATTATGTCAATACCTTAGGATCAAGTTTTTAAAGTATCTCTTAAGTAGTTTATATTAGTAGTCAACACCATCTTAAACACAAACTACGTAGGAAGTCGATGAATATAAGTGAATGATCCTATTTTTAATAAATAAATGATTTAATTGAAAAAAAATAACCTTCTAAGTTAGGTGACCCGCACCCGGTCATTTAGCCCAATGGTTGTTAAGCCTATAAGGATTTAATAATAAGCACCCAGTTGGTTCAGAGGTCATTGGTACTGGACTTGGTAGGACGGGCTACGGTCTGATCCACCACAACTGCAGTTGGGAAAAATGGGGTTGCACCGCTTAAATACCAGAACCTCGTGCTAAAGAAAAGAAAAGGATCATAGCTGCTAACAGAATTTCCCTACTATGTGTGTTTACGGATAACGGGCTTAATGTGATTGCGCTTAAATGAAAATAGTGAAAGAAAAATGAGAGATATAGGTTGAGCTATAATGGCATGATTTGAATTGGTTTGCATAAAGAGGGAGTCTTTGAATATTTTGTCATTACGATGTCCTTGGTATTGAATATTTAGTACCTATCGATCTAATATTAGCCTAGCAGCCACATATGATTATGAGTCGTGTCGTGCCTTTATTTCAAATCGCACTTAATCATTTCTTTTATTGTGTTGGTTGATTTCTTGAGGAAAAGCAATGGTTTAAGTGTGGGAGAATTTGATAACGTGAAATTATATCGTATATTCGACTTGAATCGCATGCATTTTAGTTTATTTTCCATTCATTTTTATCTTGTTATGTCGGTATTTTTGTTTTATCTCAGGGACACTCTAACAAAAGGGATCATGTGCAAAAAAGGACGAAAAGATAGCAAAATGGACAAATCAGACTGCAAGAACCAGAAAAATACAAAAAAATTGAAGCTTAAGGTCGTGACCCTCACCACAGGCCTGTGGCCCTTGCCACAGGATTTGTTTACGTGGCCCTTACAGCAGACCTGTGGCCCTCGCCACAGGTTTTGTTTATGTGGCCCTTTCCACAAAAGTGTGGCTCCCGCCACAGGCTTTGTTTACGTGGCCCTTGCCACAGAAGTGTGGCCGCCGCCACAAAAAAAAGAAATAAATAGTTTCAACTTTTTATTCAGTTCTTTATTTCTCCACGCGTCGAGTTCTCCGTTTTTGGCTCCACAAAGCCACTTTCTTGATTCTTCTCCATGCACGTCACGGACACTGAGGTCGCGAACATAATATAAAAGCAGTGTAGTTCTACATGAGACGGGGTTAGGTCGGTTTTCCAATCGAAGAATTATTCTTAGAATTTAAGCAAAGAATTTACATGTAAAAGTGATAGCTCTTCTGATGTGGAAGAGCTATCACAACTCTAGTTTTAGGAATTGTTTTTAATTTTATTCATGTACCTGATTGTCAAGTGTGCCGACATATTCTAAATTCAAGTTTCTGTTATTCTATGCAAAGATAACTTCAGCAGTAATTTCAGTTTTCATTTTATTTCTAGATTTCATTTTAATTGCTTATTCTAACTTTTTATGATTTCATCTTGGTTTAAATTAATTTTTGTTTTAAATCATATTTTGTCTTATGTTTAATTATCGTAATAGCATTTTTTTTAAAACTATGTCAGACTAAAAGTCTTGAGTCTGGTATGTGAGTGTCGTCGTTTTCGATGGGACTCAGTGATAATTTGGCTTAATTATTTGTTTTAAAAATTCAATTTCAGTTTTTAGTATTTATATTTAATTTAATTAGCTTTGTCACGAGATTAAGAAGCTACTTAACACGATTTTGTCACGAGAGTAAGAAATTAACTAAGGTTCGAGCCGACACTGCGAGAGCATAGGGGTCAAACCAGATAGTAGAAACTAGGCATTAATCCTAAACACAGCGAGAGTGGTTTAGGATTAATTAGAAATTGTTCAGTTTTCAAATCGCGTTCCTTAATTCAAGTGGTCGAACGAGAGCAAAATCCTACGGTTAAGAAACGTGACTTTATTCTAAACCACGAGAGTGTGAGGTATTGTCTTTAAATTAATATTTTTTACGAAATACATCTTTAGTATAATTAAAAGCTAACGAGTTACAGAGTCTCCGAGACATGCGAAATCCATATTTCGGCCTCTCTTTTACTATATATTTCTTTAATACTATTTTAGTCTTTATTTTAGTCTTAGTTTCCCCTTAATCAATCATTCATTAGCCTTAACTTTACAAAGCGACGATAGATTACAATAGTTTGATATTTGTCTCCATGGGTTCGACAATCTTTTATATTACTTCGATATTTTCGTGCACTTGCGGACGCATCAGACACCAGTTTTTTAGGGGCACCAAATTTTAATTTTTTTATTTTATATATATATATATATATATATATATATATATATATATATATATATATATATATATATATATATATATATATATATATATATATATATATATATATATATATATAAATTTTTTAACTAATACATATATATGTTGAGTCTGTTGAGGATCTTTTAGGATTCATTATTTTTAATACATTGTAGATCAAATAATTGGCTAACTTAATAAAAGATTTAAGCAATATAGCACATATGAGAATATTTTTGAATTTTTGTTTAATATTGAAAGACTTGAGTCATTTTCTAATGAGAACTTGAAATTATCTTGCATAAATCTTGAAACTTATTTGAAACATGACAATTCTTATGATCTTGACGGTGAAATTTTATGAAGAATTAAAAGTCATCAGAGAGATTTTAACCGTTGAATCAAAATCTTGTTTTATGATATTGAGTTCTCTTAAGATATTCAATTATTTTCCTAATGCATCCGTAGCTTATAAAATAATATTAACTATTCCTATTACTGTTGCATCGGCAGAGAGGAGTTTTTCAAAATTTAAATTACTAAAATATTTTTTGCGATCATCGCAGATTAGATTAAATAGTCTTACTTTGACTTTAATTGAAGATAATTTTTTAAACAATTTTGATTTTGATCAGATTATTGGTGGTTTTTCAGCAACATATGCTAAGAGGAGGATACTAAAAAACTAATAGTCGAATGTTGTAGTTAGTGTGAGAATTGGAATGACATTGATACATGTTCAGATTGATAGATACATTATAACTACTTTTATCATAATTTTATTGTAGTTTTGATTTTGGATAAACTTTTCAATATTAATATAATTTTTAATTTTTAAATTATATATTTATAATTATATGACTTATAAATCTAATAAAAAAATTTATAAAATTAAAAAATATATATTAATTTTGATAGAACATTCAAAATTTCGCAAACGGCAACTACTTTTATATATATATATATATATATATATATATATATATATATATATATATATATATATATATATATATATATATATATATATATATATATATATATATAAGGGTGTATATGTTCTCCATTATTTTGTTTTAGAATGAGGTGTATATTGTAACTAAAAGGATATGACACGTGAAGATAAGAAGGTTGACTTGGTTAGGTCATGACATTTTGATAATTGAGTGGCAATTGAATTCCCACCATAATATTCTAATTACAATGCCACGGGACCACACTAATGTGTTATTTATTCCCGATAATTAAAATGTTACTCCCACGTGATCATATTTGTGCCCACCAAACCCACTAGATCTAGGTTATCACCTTTTTTCTCATTTTAAAATTAATTCAATATGGTTTCAATTTTTCAACTTTGAAGAATTCTATCATTGATTCATTGAACACTTCCATTTTCAGTTGTTTTGCGCGACATCATTCATTCTTGTTCCCTTAAGAATGGTTGGTTTAGTTATTATAAATTAAGAATTTTCTAAGTTTTGCTTGCCATGCAAAACCTCCCACCCCTAAGCAGATTTGACAAATCTTAATTTTATGTAGAGATGGTATTGACTGTTTGGTAAAAATATTAAGTGGTTGAATTGGAGTGTAGTTTCATGTAGAGACTCTCTGACCCTCATTTAGATGTTCATTACATGTGGTGGTATATATAAGATTAGGGGAACGGCTTATGATTTGTCATTGTTGTAATTTAGTCGATTTGGAAATCTCATAATAACATAGTGTTCACAAGTAAATTGGAGACATCTAAGAACGTGAAAGACTCAAGCATTCTTTTAGCTTAAAAATGATATGTTGGTATATCCGTGGATACCTTTTGTGTATTTTTTGAGAGTGTCTCTTGTCTTTTCTGTTTAGAACTTTTTGAGTAGTCTTCTCATCTTTTCGTAACTTGTGAGATAGTGGTGGTTATTGAGTACAAAAAAATTAGGTGGTTGATTTGGAGTATAGTTTTACCAAGATAACCTTGACCCTCGTTCAAATATTCATTACGTGTGCTGGTATATCTAGGATTAAAGGGTATGCTTATGATTAGTCATGATGTAATTTAGTTTATTTAGAAATCTCAGAATAATATAGTGTTGACAAGTAATTGGAGACATCTAAGAATGTGGAAGACTCGAGTATTCTTTTGACTTTAAAATTGTATATTAGTAGATTCGTGGGTAGCTTTTGTGATTTTCAACATAACTTGAAAATTTTATTATGCATCTTAATCAATAGTGACTTGAGCGTCTTTTCTTTCCGTCTTATTAAAATTTGGCACTACTCTATAGTAGTTTTCTCTAAAAAAAACTAACATATTCTTTATTAAATGCTTTCATGTTTGTCAGGTTCTTTTTCTATTATTTGGAATTGTATTTTGCTTTCTTTAATATATATGTTTTTAAAAAATCAAAGTTGATAAATTTCAAATTCTAATTTATAAAAAAATTATTTACAAGCAATGTTGTGTTATAAAAAACTTACGAAATAAATATCTAATAAGAAATAAATGAATCTACTTATAAAAAATAAGATCATTAAAATTGAGTTATATGCTTCATAAATAAAGTCTCAAAAATAGACAATCCTCTTGTTTGGACTAGTTTTTTATTTTTTGAAGAAACTTGTTTAGACTAGTTAGTTATGAAGAAAAGAAATGAACTCTTTACTCAGAAAATAAATCTACTTATAAAAAAATTGCATACTTGACAATTGTTTTGAGTTAACTATTCTGGATACATAATAGGAAGATCTAGCTAGACTCTCCAAGGAAACTCTTTTTCTTAGAAACTGTTATCGAAAAAGAAGTTCTTCTTGAAGATTTCTTTGCTATTGTTGCTTTTGTAGTGCACAAACCAAAGTTCTTGCATGATTTCACTTTACTTCTATAATTTGGTTTATTTTTCTTTGCAAGATCTTCTATGCTTTTCACCCTTGCTAATGAACCAAAAGATTGTGCCTTTCCTTGATAAAACATAGACAATCCTCTCCTGTAATAATAAATCAATGGAAAATTCAATAAAAGTATTAAAAAAATAAGAAAAAATAATAAGTAAAAGAAAATATGTATCATGATTCATGCATGAGTTTGCTTACTTTATAGGAAGATGTTTGAGGAGCTCGGATAATTCATATAAAGAACCATTTAAATTTAATGATGATGAAGATGACAAATTAGAATTTGAAGAGGTTGATTCTTTTTCATCATCATCATCATCCATTTCTGATAAAGAAAAAGATGAACACGATGAATCTTCTATCATAGAACCATTGAAACTTGAATCAGCTACATCATCATCATCATCATTCTTACCAATCCAACTGGTGTTATTTTTTCCATCCATGATTGTTTGTAATATGTCAAGAAGAAAATCTCTCATCTATTATGAAGTAATTAAGTTTAAGAGAGAAAATATATATACCAATGAATGAGATTTGGATAATATTATAGTTTTGGTATATGAGTTGGATTTAGATAAATATGAAGTATATATTTAGAATTAAATTTTGGTCCAAGTGTTAACACGTTATATATATATATATGGTGTAAAATAAATTGCTAAGTTGATAACAGTAGAGGATAAGAACTAAACAGAAACAACAATATGCTGAGTCATAAATTTTAATAACATAAACTTCATTTTCATTTTTGGTAACACAAACTTTGGACCCAACCATTTTGCTAACTAACAGGTAAAGTGTGTACTTAACTATTCAGACACGTGTATCGGGGAATTTCATGAGAGTAGGGAATTCAATTTGTCAATTTCTTTTATAATCCGTTTTTTACTGTTATTGTTACTTTAGGTTTAAGTAAAGAAACGGCACCGCAGTAACATATACTCTCCGTAAGTTTTTCTATTTTTAATTTTTCAATTCATTGAAAGTGTCTGATAATGGTAATAGTGATTTCATTTGCAATTTCAAATTCAATCGAATTGAATCTATTGAAATTTTGTGCAATTTTGTAATTGATTTGTAAAAAAAAATTATGTAAACCTTGTAATTATGGTTTTGATTTTTTTTATCTACAATGGGAATTCTTTATATAGAATTTAAACCTTTTATAGTTTACGGTAAAAAGTGAATTATAAAAGTGAATTAATTGTGACTTGTAATTACAATTGTGCAATAGAATTATAAAAACAATTGTGCAATAGAATTATAAAAAGTGAATTAATTGTGAATTATAATTATAATTGTGATTTAAAATTTTGATTTGTAAAATCAATTGGATTTTGATTGTGATCGTAGAATGTTATTCAGATACTTTACACTCGAACTGAGATTTCCAAAGCCAAAGAAGCTTGCTCCTTCAAATGGACAGTTTGAAGAATCTTCTTCAATCTCCTCTTCAAATGCCGTACAACCAGAACCCCATTCTTCATATAAGACATTTAACAAAGGGACTTATTTGGAGACAGATCGTGGAAATAAAAATCCAATTCTTGAGTATTATCCAAATGATCAAGATGATGTAAGAAGAGCTTACCTTGTGAATGGGCCATTTAAAATTAAATTAATTAAATATGAATCCACAAATATTGGGGGAAGGAATCGTTCTTTTCAATATAGTTGGCATGAAGAGTATGATTGGTTGGAATATAGTGTAGAAAAAAATGTTGTTTTTTGTTTGCCTTGTTATGTGTGCTACAAAGGTACTAGTAGTTCTGTATTTGTGGTGACTGGTTTTAAAGGCTGAAATCTAAAGCATAAGTTGAATAAACATGTTGGTGAGAAACCAAATAGTCATCATAAAAAGTGTGTGAAAGCATGTGAGGATCTTATGAAGAAAAGCATAGTATTGAGTTTTCGTATGCAAAATATAGTTCAAAAGAAGAAGTAGATTATCTTGTTCGTTTAAAAGCATCACTTGAGGCTGTCAAATATCTTATTAGAGGAAGATTGACATTTAGAACACATAATAAGGGTAAAAGCATCACTTGCTTGCTTGAGTCCTTGTTATTCATTTGAAGCATTTGACATTAAATCACTTGTGAGATTGGCAAGATTGTGCTCAAATGACTTTGAGTATCTTACAGATAAGGAATTGTCTAGTAAGTTGGAGACTTATATTGAGAGTGTCAAGATGGACGATCACTTTTCCAATTTGACTGATATCTCGGAACTTTGTAGGGCTCTTGTTCGAACAAAGAAGCATAAGACATATAGGTTTGTGTACACACTTGTCAAACTAGCTTTGTCCTTACCGGTGGCCACTTCAAGTGTTGAGCGAGTATTCTCGGGGGTGAAATATGTTAAGAATGAGTTGAGAAGTAGAATGGATAATCCATGACTAAATGATTGTTTAGTGACATTTATGGAGAAAGAAGTGTTTAATACAATCGATGATATGTATATCATCAAGCGTTTCCAAGGAATAAACAATAGAAGAATGCATTTATGATTAGACTAGAATGTTTTCTATTTTTGAGTTGTAATTGAAATACTAGTACATTTTTTATTAAGTAATATTATCATATTTCTTGTCATTAATTTTTGCGTACATTTTTTTATATATTTTACTCATTATGAGAATCCACGGGATTTTGATCCTGGATTCGCTCCTGTATGTGTGTGTGTGTGTATATATATATATATATATATATATATATATATAAAGACAAAATCAAATGACACTAAAGTGACAAACTTAATAACATGACACTTCAGATAACTCTTTACCGCATATTCGTATTACAAAATCTGTTGAAACTGTAATTCCTTGTGTCAAAGCAGATTGTTGCTCGACACAAGGTGTGTTGAAAAGTTTAGTATGTCAAGTTGTATTTAGTTATCGAGGTGTTGTAAGCAAGTTACTACACGGATTCGATTTAGATCCAAAATAGGTATTTTGGGCCTTTTGTGTTTTGGGTTTTGGCTTAGAGAGCATGCTAACCTAAAACTATAATAGAGGGCGTAACCCCTATTTTTGTAATTAACTTATAACAACTTGTATTCACATAATTTTATAGTTGCAAAGTGAATAAAGATTTTCCACAATTTGTGGGTAGAGAGTTACTCTGTAGAAATCATAAATCTCTTTTCTTCTTTAATTTTTCTTTTCTTTTCATTGATGTGGTGATAACAATCTTGTTCGTCAAGATTGATAGAAACTCATCATAGGTTTTGGTGAATTTCTAGCATCTGATATCAGGAGTTTTGGTTGAGCGATTCAAGGCAAGCAAGAATGATGACAATGAATCATCTGACCGAGCATTTTCCAGCAAGTTTTCCAATTCTTAAAGCTGACAACTATGAGAATTGGTGCAAGAAGATGAAGGTTGTGTTTTGTTGTCAATATCTTTGGGATCTTGTGAAACATGGATTAGAATCACTTGAAGAACATGCTTCAGAAAAAGAAGAGGCAAAATATAAAGAATCGAAGAAGAAGAAGAATTATAAAGCTCTCTTTATAATTCATCAATGTTTGAGTCCAGAAAATTTCGAAAAGGTTAGTGATATAGAATGTGAAAAAGATGCTTGGGAAGTGTTGTACCCCAAAATTTTCCCTCCCATATTTCTCAATACATGTCAAGTGAGGTCCTCAAATTGCTCATGGAAGTCCAAGAGTTGATCTGACAAATTCTCTCCTAAGGCAGTCTACCTCAAATTAGGGTTTCATTTTACATCAAGATGTTTGAATCAAAAGGTTCCCAAATTCTCATTATTGTCCTAATATGTTCTCAAGATCATCCATGTCAAGTTTCAAGCCTTGCAGAGAAAGTTTGCTCAGTTAATTGCTCAAAAGCCTGAAAATCGATTGTGTTAGGGTTAAAGTCAATTGTGGCCCACATACAGTCAAACTTCAAGATTTTTGGTCAACATTCTTATTTTGAAGTATTATTCATCATTTTATCAAGGATTGCTCACAATTCATCAAAACCCAAAAGTTACTAAATTAGGGTTTTGAAGAAAAAGTCAACTCAACTTTGACCAAGCATAACTTTCTCATACTTTATCATAAATGACCCATCCAAAACTCATTTTAAATAGGATGCAATTACCTAAAATTCATCTTCATCTCCCAAGTTCAAAATATTCACTCATAAGAAGATATGAATTTGGACATTATAGATCATATTGAAAAGTCAACAAAAACACCATTTTTGTCAAAGCTTCATACATGAACATGGAAGACTCAATTGAGATTATACCAAAAGGGTTACTTAGAGGACATATTAAGCTTTCTAAAAAGTCTAAGAACACTTCTCTAAGGTCAAAATTGAAGGAGTTATGCATTGGCAAAGTTGACCTTTTTTGCAAAATTGCCAAAAGTCAAATGTGGCTAAAATTGCAATTTTTGTCAAATGGGCCCAATTTATGCTTGCATTAAGTTGGTAACATGACCCAAGACCCATGATCCTTCCAACTTGGATTTATTTTATTTTTGTCATTTATTTGGATTTTATTCAATTAAATCAAATAAAATCAAAATAAAATCATGAAAAATATCAAAACTAATCAAAGCTTGAGATTTTGTGCATGTTTAGGCCTCTTGTACAGTTGGAAGAAGATTCAAATCGTGCAAACTTCAAAAGGACACAAAAAGATTTTATTTTCTCAATTTGGAAAGATTTGAATAAAGGATCAAATCTTGAATCAATGATCATTATTGGTAAAGATTTGAAGCCAAATTGCAACCTTAATTCGTTCTAGGGTACATATAGAACAAGTGCGGACCAAAAGAAGAAGACTTGGAGGCGTGAAAAGAGAAGAACAACTTTCAAAAAAATCAAAAAAAGGTGCAATCTGATTTCTCAATTCCAGGCTTCTTCAAGCCATTCCAAGCATACCATTCGTCTGCTAGGCATCCAAGGACTCTATCCCAATCATTAGCAAGCATTTTCGTGCCCAGATACGCGCTGTAAATACCCCACGACCTCTATGATTTTTTAAATCGTATCTCATAAATTTGGCATTGTTAGCATATTTTATGGACATATTATGAATCCTTGAAACATTTGCAAGCTAATGATAATACTCAATTGTGTTTTTGTTAACCATACAAGAAGTTGCCATGATTAGGGTTTAGGTTTCGTTTTTAGGGGTTTTGCTTGCAGGAACAATTGGCCATGGAAAGTGGTACCATGATGCTCGTGAGGTTGCAACGAGTTGATTGGTACCACTGGAATTGATTTATCATGCGTGCATAGGATTTTGGAGGATCACAGGGTTGTACCTACGCCCATAAAATTGTAGGTAAAAGTGTTGAACTTTTGCCAACGGAGGGAGGAAGAAGAAGGGTGGCGTGGCACTCCCTGATTCGCTTATTCAAAATTCACGTGTTTTGAAGAATATTATTTTGTTTTTCCAATATAATCATTATTTGTTATTCCATGTA